GTCTAGATCAGTTGGTTATGTGAATACTTACTAAATACTAATTTCGTGTTTCGCTCAAAACTAGACGAAACCGCCGGCGTCGAACAACAATCACACAACGCACAACCCGACGTGCGAGAAGCTCGTGCAGAAGCCCCTACCCCCGAAGCCAAGGAAAACTGTGATCCAAGCCTCGACCTCGGAATTGCTCAAGTGCCTCGGCGTCTTCCTCCACAGGAAATGCACACGTTTAAGAGACTTCCAGGCCGGCGACGCTGTCATGTGGATAAAGACCGTCGACAGGAGCCTGCTGCTTCAAGGCTGGCAGGTGAGCAATTTCCTATGTTTGCTACTCCCATGTTGACACGTTGCTTACTACAATTAACTTTAATTTTTATTTTATTCATATATACGGGCAGGGTCGTGTCTGTATACAGGAATAATTGTTCTTTTGTTAAAAATGTCTTATTTTCTGTTTATGCAATGTCTAAATTAGAAAACATACATACGCGTACCATACCAGTCGGATGTGTATCCGCAAGTATTCAGATACTAGATTTAACAATTTCTTTGTTAAACTGAAAAACTAGAGATTGCGATTGAGAGAGAAAGCGAATGACGCAACCGAGTTCAATAACAGACAGACCAATTACGGATAACGATAATTAATATGCGTCCCAACTACGTGAGTTCTCTGTCATCGAGATATCGTGGCAACTAGTTAATTAAAGCGGACACTGAGCGATTCATCTGTTAACGATCAAATTACCGTCACTATTAATGGAAAGTGAAACGAAAGCTTCAGACTGCAGGATATTCATTCGAATCGTCACGAGCCGCTGCATATTGGAGTAGACACTTAGGCAAAACGAGATGCGGCACGCGTCACTGCAGCACCCAACAGCACCCTATTCCTCTCCAGAGTGCGTGTCTGTATGCGGTGACCCGCGGGAATAACTAGTAATGAGAGCTGCGCGAAGTCGCAATACGTCATGGTAGGAATCGAGCGGATCTCCATTTATTTAGACGCATCCATATGGTAACCGACGAACCGTTTCACCCGCGAAACGAATTTTACGTATAGAACATGGATCGAATCTCGTCTCGATTTCACGAGTCAAACGTTTATGCTAATGCACTGCGATTGCGGTTTATGCTAATCTTACGACCCTCTGCAGGGGCTTATTCTTTATCGCATAATAGATTTCTTTTCCAGATATCGTAATTTATTTAACCCGTTGTTCATAAAACATATCACGAAACATATAACCGAATGAGATGTAAGAATAAACTAAAATTTCTGGTATTTTAATATAATAATATGAATAACCAAAAAGTTTCTTATATTAAATTTCAATACTTTAAGATTATCTACATACGTACAAATAAAATTCTGATAGTAAATTCTGAAATTCTTATAGTTTATGTCCAGTTTTAAGTTTGGGACAAATTGATGAGTCCATTGAAACTCTTCATGGTGTATTACATATTTCCGATTATATAATTTATAATCATCTTTCATATGAGATAATGTCTGATAGTTACTAATTTGGAATATTTGCCAGATTATGTTAAAAACGGTAAGACATTAAGAACGGTATATTTCGATTAAACGTGTCCTTCGAGTCCAGTGCATAACGTATTTTCTCATGTCAGTCGGACGTATCAGTATCGCGTGTTGAATAAAAGGGAGCCTCTATCCTCAGTGCATTGTTGCTGGAAAGTCGATCGACGCAAGACGTTCGAAGCGCACGAAATAACGATCGCTTTGTCAGGAAAGTTGAGCGAAATTATTATCACCGTGTACAATGTACCTCGAGTATAAAAGCATCGGTTAACATCGAATTGGGTCAAGTGCTAGCATACAATTAACGATAACCTTGATATCAAGCATCGTGCAAGATTTATCGTTCTTATTTTACGTCCGAAGCATCTGAGCATTCCTCGATATTCGTATTTCTTTGTTTCGCGGACGTTGATTTCATCTGCTGTCCCTTTTCCCTCCCTGCGAAGGTTACTATCGATTATCCGGTACATGAGACTTACATTGATTTTCGTGAAAAATCGACTTCGTTACACCCACGAAAACTGAACTAAACGCCGCTTCGTTACCAATGACGTTTGTACTAAATGTTTTCCAGTGATGGAAAATTGCGCTACAGAGTTAAACAACACAGGAGAAGGTTGAATTGAATTTGTAATTATTTAGTAGGCATCGTGAATATTCTAACACGATATGAACGATTTCTCACGTTGATAAGCTGGAAGTGCACGACTGATAAATGAACCCTCGCGAGAAGGGTGTCGCTTATCTTACCACTAAAAAAATCGTTCGCTAACGAGCCCATCCAAAATGCTCGCATGATTCGCTTTCTTTTTGTCATCATCAGCTACACACAAAAAGGGATGATTAGCGTTACGTAGGTTGAGTCTCCTAAATTTGGTTCTCTATACATGTACAATTCTACTAAAATATTTACAGTTTCTAAAATCTAATATTGATTTCTTGTAAATATCTCTTTCCATCTACCACTCTCGTTCTATTTGCAACGAAGCAATTTGGATAAAATTTGCAGATCGCGACTGATTCGATGGTTCACGAAAATTTGCGAGCGTGCACGCACGCACGCTGTTGACTCGTGCTAATAAGGCGTGGCATCGAACCCCATTCACGTGTGTGTGTTTATTCTACGGAACGAGTGCGTGTACAGCAGTAGAAGCAAATATACGAAGAGCTGGTCGCGGCTTTCGCTGTCAAAGAGCCTCTTTAGCGATCATCGCTACCCTATCCTACGACCCCAAATCTACTAGCTCTCGCCAACTACTCATCGGTTCCCCCGTACGAATTCATCTCTCACTCGGTTCTCAATTCTGACGCTGCATGACATGACTGCGTAAAACGATCAGAATTATTTTTAGTCGTTACGTTATCATCCACTCGTTCAACCTACTTTCCCTATATAATAAACTGGCTAAAATCCTTTTTATAGCCAGGTTAATTTCAATACTTTAAGATTATCTACATACGTACAAATAAAATTCTGATAGTAAATTCTGAAATTCTTATAGTTTATGTCCAGTTTTAAGTTTGGGACAAATTGATGAGTCCATTGAAACTCTTCATGGTGTATTACATATTTCCGATTATATAATTTATAATCATCTTTCATATGAGATAATGTCTGATAGTTACTAATTTGGAATATTTGCCAGATTATGTTAAAAACGGTAAGACATTAAGAACGGTATATTTCGATTAAACGTGTCCTTCGAGTCCAGTGCATAACGTATTTTCTCATGTCAGTCGGACGTATCAGTATCGCGTGTTGAATAAAAGGGAGCCTCTATCCTCAGTGCATTGTTGCTGGAAAGTCGATCGACGCAAGACGTTCGAAGCGCACGAAATAACGATCGCTTTGTCAGGAAAGTTGAGCGAAATTATTATCACCGTGTACAATGTACCTCGAGTATAAAAGCATCGGTTAACATCGAATTGGGTCAAGTGCTAGCATACAATTAACGATAACCTTGATATCAAGCATCGTGCAAGATTTATCGTTCTTATTTTACGTCCGAAGCATCTGAGCATTCCTCGATATTCGTATTTCTTTGTTTCGCGGACGTTGATTTCATCTGCTGTCCCTTTTCCCTCCCTGCGAAGGTTACTATCGATTATCCGGTACATGAGACTTACATTGATTTTCGTGAAAAATCGACTTCGTTACACCCACGAAAACTGAACTAAACGCCGCTTCGTTACCAATGACGTTTGTACTAAATGTTTTCCAGTGATGGAAAATTGCGCTACAGAGTTAAACAACACAGGAGAAGGTTGAATTGAATTTGTAATTATTTAGTAGGCATCGTGAATATTCTAACACGATATGAACGATTTCTCACGTTGATAAGCTGGAAGTGCACGACTGATAAATGAACCCTCGCGAGAAGGGTGTCGCTTATCTTACCACTAAAAAAATCGTTCGCTAACGAGCCCATCCAAAATGCTCGCATGATTCGCTTTCTTTTTGTCATCATCAGCTACACACAAAAAGGGATGATTAGCGTTACGTAGGTTGAGTCTCCTAAATTTGGTTCTCTATACATGTACAATTCTACTAAAATATTTACAGTTTCTAAAATCTAATATTGATTTCTTGTAAATATCTCTTTCCATCTACCACTCTCGTTCTATTTGCAACGAAGCAATTTGGATAAAATTTGCAGATCGCGACTGATTCGATGGTTCACGAAAATTTGCGAGCGTGCACGCACGCACGCTGTTGACTCGTGCTAATAAGGCGTGGCATCGAACCCCATTCACGTGTGTGTGTTTATTCTACGGAACGAGTGCGTGTACAGCAGTAGAAGCAAATATACGAAGAGCTGGTCGCGGCTTTCGCTGTCAAAGAGCCTCTTTAGCGATCATCGCTACCCTATCCTACGACCCCAAATCTACTAGCTCTCGCCAACTACTCATCGGTTCCCCCGTACGAATTCATCTCTCACTCGGTTCTCAATTCTGACGCTGCATGACATGACTGCGTAAAACGATCAGAATTATTTTTAGTCGTTACGTTATCATCCACTCGTTCAACCTACTTTCCCTATATAATAAACTGGCTAAAATCCTTTTTATAGCCAGGTTCTTCCACCGTTCCCTAGTTCACCCACCATGCGGCACTAATGCGCACTCGTACGCCAGGTTACATGGTTCTTTCTTTTATTCACTCTACAGAAATTAGAACGCCGCATACGGGTTAATTATAAAAAGGGAACTGGCCGCGAATCGATAGCGGGTCCTATCAAGGGAGTCGCCTCTTATCGAGGCGCCGCTAAAAATGTGTGCAGCAATGCAGCCTGCATGGGGTGTGATTCGTGGGTCACGTGCGTGCTACCCCGCGGGACCCCATCCCCTCAGCCACTGTGCAAGTATGCGAGCGGTACCTAGGGACGTTCACCCTTCGGTTTTAATTGCAAGGGGAATCGACCACCTCTTTCTTCTGTTGCCGGAAGGAGAAGTTCTGGAGGGAAAAGGATTACCTAAAAGCATTGCGTCTTTCTCAATTCATAACGATATTCACCCCGTTGCGATAATTTTTAGAGGAAATCTGAGTAATCAAGTTATGCGACTTCCAAGGATGGAAGATATGTTTTCATGTGAAATAAACTGCAGATTTTTGTTCAAAATTAAACTTTGGTATCATTTGGAATAACGAATTTTATATGAACATTTGTTTTAGCATTTAAATATTGAAATATGGCATTCATCTTTTGATATTTTGAATAGTTTTACGAAACAAAAATTTGTTTATAGAATGACTTGATTGAGTCATTGAAGTTCATAGCATGCATCAAACATGAAACATTTTGGGATATGGATAACAAAATTACATTATAAGATAAAGTTTCACGTAATTATTACTGGTATATCGCGATGGATTATAGCTGTATCAGCTTATTGTAAGTCTCGATACGAGTTACGTAAAACTTTGATCGATTCCATGCCACGAAACCGAATCAACCACTATTATTAAATTCTTTTTTCATCCCCTCTGGGATTTAGTTTCAAAGTATGCTACCATACAAGCATACCTCGTGCAAAAGCGTAAGAGGAAATGAGCTTCTCCTGAGAATCTCAATTGTCGGCTCTTGCCGAAGAAAAGTTTAGAGGCCGACCGTTTCGGTGAGATCGCTGTATAATTGGAGTCGCGGCGACTTTGACGCAGCAAGTGGGGCAATCGGGTGCTCTGAATAATTTCCCGTCGTGTGCTTTTCCGCCACTTCTCCTTGCGGCTGCCACTTAATTCCACGTAAAACGGCGCGCGTGACAACGACGGGTCATCGAAGCGGCCGTAATGGCGAGAGCACTTTCTCGGAAATTGCGTTCCTCGTAACGAAACAGGGCGGAAAAATGCAAAAAAGATGTGTTAAAACGGCAAGAAATAATAAAAAACAATGCGTTGTGTTACGCAAAAGTAATTTGTACTTTCGGTAGTTGCCGGTTCTTTGAATTTGCGCACATTATAACTACAATCCTTCACATGAAAATTTGTTAAATGTAATCCTAAACACGTTGAAACGTTTCTATGGACATCTATTTACATTCCTGACAGATATTTATATTAGATAATATAAGAGACGGAAAAACGTGAAAAGGATCGAGGAAAATAATAAAACTGATTACCTTCAAGTGTTTCTCATTTTTGATGGACATTCGTGTAAGGTAATATAGACAGAGATATTTTTATTCGTCGCCCTTTCGTGCCACGTTGCGCGCGTGATCCGGAGAAGACAAGAACGGGGAAGCACTTCGCTCTTTCGCTCCGAGGTTTCCGCGCACCGATACGATGCGACGGTTCACCACAAATCGATCGCGCACGTGTTCAAATCTAATCAGTCAAGGGTGACATACGCAGCACGCCCTAGAAACACACTATTGCCTAGGACGCGTTCAGATTTCGCGTCTTTCTATACTCGCGAAATTACTATCATGATATATCCTGCAAATAGGCTTCGATCAGAAAAACATTCAATCAATTGAAGTTCAGATGATGAAAGCTCTGATATTATTTGATTGGAAGACCTTACGAATTATCATTTTATCATTAATTCAATAAATAGACTCAATTGCAAATATTCTGTTAATAAAATCAACATCTATTCTTGTTGATTCACTCTGTACATTTTGATGTGACTACAATATAAAGTTTTATATCAAAGCTTGATTTATCAAAAACCTCGGTTTTATTTGTAGGATTTTAATTGTACTAATCATTAGTATATAAAATTTGATAAATTTCTTGGACGTATAAAGGACTCCTGTGTCTCTGTGTACAGCATATGCCATTTTCTAATACGATTATGCAATGATAGCAGTAATACTGATTATTAGTAAGCTTTCCAAGGTTGCGATCGGAATATCCTATCATTCCGGATTAAGTAACCGCGTTTGTACCATTTGCTGCAACAGCATTTCCGCTCCGAATCGCATAATCTTCTTTGACTACGAAGTTTCCATGCTTCTGGTGGATCACGTGCAATTACGATAGAAAGATCAAGATTATCAAAATTAATTAATCTTTGATATGAAAATGATCCCTCTTAATGAGTTTGGACTTTGAGAGAAGCGGATGGTTGCGAGATTTTGTGTCAGGTCGCGATGCATTGAACCCGAGGAGCAACACGTAGAAACGTTTAACTTAGAGCTCGTCTAGACGGTAAATAGAAGAAGGTTGAACGTCATTCCGGAAGAAATCCCGTTAAAGGGAAACCATACATCGATGGAAGAATTGTTTTCCGTGTCCACAACTGTACTCGTGTGACGACAAAGGGAAAGCGCACGTGTTACGTATGCTAACTCTACCGTGTTGTTTGTACCGGGAGGAAGCCAAATAAAGCGAATACGAATTCCAGAGAATCGTCACACGGAATTTGCTATGCATCGTGCCACGTGTACCTGATCATCCCCGGATTATCCCGTTTACGTTACATACCGCTCGTAATCGCCTGGAATCCTACCCCCTTTATGTGAAATAATACATTTGCAAATTGTGTGGCTTGTCAATTTAGAAAATACCTAAATGAGAATTTCTTTTATACTTTAATCCACCTCACTTTTTGATCTTTCGTACGCCTGTGGATATTTATATGCAATTTTTGTATTTCATTATTTTCACATAAAATCTACAGTCTCTAAAAATAAAGAAACCTTCTACTGGGGAAGGCGAAAATGCTTCTTATTACCAATTTTCTGATTGCAAAGACGGTTAAGTAAATAGTCTTCGATTAGACGAGCGGAAATGGCAGTGAGAACTCAAAGGGACCTTTCTCGCTTGGATCAATGACGACGCGCGTTGATTGGAGGTAAGAGCGTGGACGTATTCGTGGCTGAATTGACTTGCCGCCGTGCTGTCTCGAGAATTGAATTAGAACCATTGAATCTTCGATAAGCTGATGAAAAACGCGGCTGCAGGCCGCTAACCTCTGACGAATATCGACCAGCGACGAATATGTATACTGAGAGCTTGCCGTCGCCGTTCTCTATTGACTCTGTCGGTTTTCCACACTCGGAGAGCCTTTGCCGGATAGCTCTGTGTGAGCTGACCAAGACACGTGGAAAAACATGCCTCAATGAGGCCTCAATTTATTTTAAAAATAAATCCTCCTTTGCCACCTATCGTTCTTTCCCTTGCTGGCGTCAACACCAATTATTATCGAGAGCTATTATCCGTACTGGAGAACATAAATAGACTGTCTATTAATAAATAGTAGCAAGATATTTTGTTAGTTAGCTACTCTTTTCTTTCGAAGTTGATTCCTTCTTCTTTGTTATCAATTATTGGTAAACTATCTTTGCCTTAACAAGAATACTGTTTCCTTCCTTTAATCTCGGCAAACTCTTTATTCTTTCCCGTGGATCAACTCACGATTTTTCTTCGCGAACACCAACTTCCGCTCGAAAGGCTAAAAAAGTGCTCCGACTCTTTCATGCGAGTATCCAGAGCACGAGTCGACGTCCCTGGATATAGCACGCGCGTTCACGCGTGCAGCAAATGCGCCCCGTGTTAAACGGTTAACGAGGGAGGTGCAACAACCGAGCGCGACGCGACAAAATCGCTCGGCGAGAGGAAACGCTGTATCGGGAGCATCGATCCTGCCGGGTCACCGCGGGGCCTCATCGTCGGTGCATCCACACGTGCGAGAAACCAACCCTTCTTCGCGAAACACTGAGGAACCCTTGCCGGTTCGAAAAAATCCCCTGTGATCACACCACCGTGCGTTTTAATTATCACAAAGCATTCGTTGTAATTGGAGGACAATTTTGGGAGTGGGAGACGTCGTTCGAGGGGTCAAAGACTCGCTTTGAATGCGAAATTGAGAACGTGTACAGATCAAAAGCAAGTGAGAAGGGGACAGTTTTGAAGAGGGTTTTTCATATATAATTAGTTTCTATATATAGTAAACACAAGTTGTATTTTTGTTAAAGAAAAATGTATACGGAATCGATAATAAAATGCGTATCATGATGGTTAAATTATTAAATGAAATTCAAACTGAATTTCATCATGCCTTGCAAGTTATGTTCCATATAAAAATCCAGTCTTTTCACCAGGATAAAATAGAACTTGAATTGTACAAAACTGATTTGCAATGAAGTACAGGTGTGGGGAATACAGAAAGGCACGTGTAAATGAAATGTACAAGCGAGATAAGTGTATTAAGTGAGGTGGTCCGTTAAGCTCGAACGAGCCAATTCACTTGTCTGTGTCCTAATTCGCTACTGACTCGGAGGCCTTGGTTTCTGGAGCAATAGTAGACTGGTCGACTTCGGTAGAGGACAACCGGTAGAAGTAGCGGATAGCTAATATTTAATGCGTGGTAAACGAAAATAGATGCAGGTCGTGGTTCAGATTAATCTCACCCTAACTGGACATTGGGACAAATACAGATTCGGTGGAATTTATATTTTACAAGACTTTTCGTTATGACAAGAATTTATCATTTCGAACTTGGATACCGGAGTTGGCTCGATGAAATAAATGTCAGACAAGAGTAGACATTCTTCTTTTTATAAAATGAGACGGGAATGGAGTGGAATGGAATAATGTTTTTTGTTCGCGATGAAAAGGAAGACCCAGTAGCGGCCGAGGTACGGTGTCGAGTGCAACAATGCCGATTGCAATTTCGCAAGCGTGGCACGTAACGCGATACCGCACCAAGTGAATCATCCCTTTCTGTTACTGGAAAAGAGTATCGCTATACCATCCAAGAAGAAGCACTTCGCGTCACCTAAATGTACGGGGCTAATGTAAACTATACTTTACCGCAAACGCATCGAATGTCTCCGTCAAAAACCCGCACAACTTACAAATTTCGCTGTCACGCAATATTAGATTGTAAACTCTTATGTAAATTAATACTTTCGTGATCTCGATTTAAAAAATGAAATCTGCATTGGGACTGAACATCACATAAAATATAATATTTCAAGCTTGCACGCTGTTCCATGAGGTCTACGAGACTCGCATTCTGTATGAGAAAATATAATTTCCTTTTTATTAACTTGCAAAAAATTGTTTCAGGACGTCGCATTCATCAATCCCGCCAACGTTGTGTTCGTTTATATGCTGGTGAGAGAGTTGGTCGAAGGCGACGAGTCGACCGAGAGAGAACTACAGGCAACGGTGTTGACGTGCCTGTACTTAAGCTACAGCTACATGGGCAACGAGATTAGCTACCCGCTGAAACCGTTCCTGATTGAGGACTGCAAGGAGAAGTTTTGGGACAGATGTCTGCTAATCGTCAACCGGCTTAGCTCTGAGATGCTGCGCATCAACAGCGAGCCTGGATTCTTCACGGAGATTTTCACCGAACTGAAGGTTCGTCGAAATTCGTTCTATTACTACTCAGGAGACGCAAAGACTGCGTTTTTTTAATAAGTACAGGCATCAGTTACTGAATTTTCTAAAATTCGTAATCTTTTCAAAAAATAAAGTACAGTTTATTAGTATTGGACGAAGTTCAGCTTGAAAGATAAACATGATAAACGAAATGTCATTTGAAAATGCCAAACAGGAAAGTTCAACGACGCATTACAAACGTGCATTACTTGCACAATATTTTTTATTGTTCTACACCTCTGGTATTTTAAAACTTTCGATACCTTCATTCTAACACTACGTATTAGCATTTTTAACGAAATTTGAGTTTTGAATGTTCCTGTTGCTATCCCATTACTATTTCAATTATCGACAACACCAAGAAGCCTGTTTAAAATAACATGAGATATAAAACTAGACAGAAACACTAACAATAAGTCTCATTGCTCTCCTTTATACCTCATTTTTGTCAAATACGTGTTATTAGAATGAATGTATCGATATGTTTCGGAATCTGACCGAGACTAGAAATAAAATATGTTTGGCAGGCTTGCGGAGCGTACGACCGAGGTAGCCTGCCTGGTACAGGCCTCGAGCGGAGCCTCGTCGTCTCCGGAGTCGCGGTACCCACCAAGGCGGCTTGACGGAGCTACACACACCTGCTGGTGCGGATCGACCGACGCAGACACGGCTGCGACGTCACGACCCTCTGACGATGGCCATCGCGACGACGAGGAGCTGCCCCCGCAGCTTGACCCCTCCGCGTCGACCTCGACCTCGACGTTGCCTCGACATCACCACCACCATCATCATCGAGCTAGCCGCGACGATGGAGAACCGGGCGGGGGACGATGCACGTCCTGCGGGAAGCTGCGTCGCGAAGAGATCCTGGCGATCCAGGACCTGGACGCGATCGAGGCGGCGCCTCTGGAGTCGCAGAGGACGCCTGAGAAGACGTGTACCTGCGGCGCAGAGGCCAGAGGCGATCGTGAACGCGGCGAGCTTCGCAAATATCGCAGCACAGACGCCAGGTGGGCCACCACCAGCTTCCTCTCGCCGGACGATGCGATTTGGGACCTGAGGGCGCAAGCTAGCGAGGGAACCGAGTATCGATGGGAACTTCGGACATCCACCACCGACCTTGACTTAACAAGGCGAACGAAATGCAGCTGTCACAGTTTGACGCCCGAGGCCGACAAGAAGCCGCACGAGGTTCAGCGTGGCGATCTCAGGAAACATCACAGCGCGGAGGGAGACAAGTGGTCGGTGAAGCCGGACTATCTGACCGTGCCGATGTACGATTTAAGGAAGCACAGCAGCGACGACACCAGAATGGCTAGAGAGGCTAGGTGGCTTCAGGTTCCAGAGGTGTTGCCCAATCCGAAACCCAGGTGTACTTGCCCGAAAACGAAGACCCTGCCGATGCCGTCGCCCCCTAAGGAGACGACGATCCAAGCGGTGCCGACGGTGCCGACGGTGCCGACGGTGCAAGAACCAGAACAACCGGTGGTGAAACAAGAACCGGAGAGGAAGTTGTACCATTCTGCGTCCTTGGCCGTAGAGAGGAAAGAGGAACCGCGGGCGACATTGGCGCCGGAGAGACCAGAATTGAAGAAACACGCGAGCGAGGACACAAGGCTAGTGAGGCCCGAGAGGGCCAGACCGAAGCTGGAGCGATCTCATGCCAGGGTGGACAGCCAGTGGTCAAAAAAATGGAGTACCAAGGAAAAGGTGGTCAGTCCGGAGGAAGGAAAGAAGCCACGACACAAGTGGGCCATGAAGCCGCACTTTTCCCTTCCCGCGGAAAAGAAAGAGAAATTGAAGGGCCAGGAGTCTATAGAAGGGTTCAAGAGCAAGAGTTTGAAGGAAAGACCCAAGTACAGTATTAGAAGAAGCTTGTCTCCGGAACCTGATCCTCGCCAGATGAGCAGAGTGGACAATCGGATCGTGCGAAGATTGATATCTCCTGAGATTACCCTTGCAAATGCAAAGTGGGCTCCTTACGAAGATGCTTCTCCTTTGCCCACGATTGGAATAAAGAAACGTGAACCGAAGCCCATCAGCGAAATCAAATGGACACCGTTCGGTACTTCACCATCGAAACAGGCCGAAGGCGTCGGTGGAAGTTTTGTTATGCTGGATGCAGAGGAGCCACCGAAAGACTGGTCACCGTTTCACAATATAACACCTACGCACCATCCACCTCCGGTAGCAGTCCCGTGCAGCGATGACGAAGAATTTCGCATGAGGATACTCAATCAAGTGGCAGCGTTCCCGATGTACCAAGGGGGTTGGAAGGACGAATCTCCGGAGAAGACGCCACCGAAAAGAGTGCAATCACCAGTGGATTTGTCGCCACCCATTTGGTCTCCTCTTCCGGCTTCGCCTATTAAAAGGCAGAGATCGCAGCAGCAACAGTATTCTCCGCAACCGGTGCACAGGAAGAGCATCGTGAAGGTTCGAGGATTGTCGAAGAAGAAGGTGTCAAGGGCTAGGTCCGAAAGTGGTCAAGGTGACAGATTGGTGCCACCTACTGTGATCGTCCGCGCGGCTAGCGAGGAACCAAAGAGGCAGAGGCCTCAATTGGTGAGGTCGAAGGCGTTGTTGGAGGTGCCGATGATAGGGATTACGAAGAGGTCACTGAGCGAGGAAGTGCCACGTGCGCGCGAACGTCGCGAACGGGCGCGGCCTCACAGAGCCCGCAGCGAGGAGACGACTAAGTACGGGGATCCGTGGTTCACCAACGACACCGTGGCGGGCGAGAGACCGGAATTACGGGAGTACGTGACGACGGTTTGAGTGGGGACGAGTAGAAAACACGGTTGACGGTACTCGAAATCGAAGCGAGGCGAAGGTATTCTTTAATTAATTTCAGCCACCCCTCTTGTCACGAGGGGGCGAGGCAATTTCACGTGATTAGCTCGCTTAGGTGTTTTTGTATCGACGTAGAAACGAACCGTGCGAGAGATATTGTATTCGTTCGTTGCAACCAGCGATGATTATTTTCGTCATTCGCTTTTTCCCAATCGCTGCTGAGCAATCATCGACGCGCTACGAATCGTAGAGATCGTGAAAGGTGGAACCGAGGGGATAGACCTCGTGCAAAGATCTACGCGCCCACGCATCGTTGGCCTACGAAACGAAGACTAGTAGTCGACGAGTCGAAAGAAACACGAATGATCCTTTCTGTAAAAAATGCGAAACGAAAAAGAGTGGAAGTCGAGGCAGGTCGATGAATCGAGTTCGCGTAGAGTAAAACGCGTCGCGACGCGCTGTGATGGGAAGCAAGGGGAGGTTCGAGCCCTCGTGGCAGCGCTTTTCTAAACGAGGGACAATTTTTCGGCTCAACGATACTGAACTTCTTCAGCGGCACTGAGCACCGAAAAGTACAGTTCGTCGACGAGGTGACAGTTCGCATTAGCGTCTTGTAATTGATAACGTTAGTCGATAACTGTAAAGCGTTCGAACGTATCATATTGGATTAAGGGTACATTCGACTTAACGAATAATAATACGAGCTTAGGTCTTTAAGTGTGGCTGATATTAAGTATACCCACGAATAACAAGAGCTAGACGAATGGAAAAGAACAGACGCTGAAGATACGAATTAAGTGCATTGTGAATGTTACACGAGCGTCCCGTTCGAAAGTCGATGAGAATCGACAAGATGGACATCTTTGTTACGCATTCCTTTCTGTTTCACGATCCATCGTCCTAGCTGAAATAAACGGATCCCTTAAGATCCTGACGATGGATCGCTCGCGATAATACGCATAATTAAGTTCATACAACAAAAATATGATAAAGGGGGCCGCTGTCTGAGGTAAACGACAAGTAGCAGCCCTCGTGTGCCGGCGCGTGCAATATTAATTAGGATTAATGGTTACGATTCATTGAGTAGCCACTTAAGGATGGGGTACTAAGATTAAGCAAGACTAATCCACGTTATCGACGGCTGCACTTACACTTGTATTCGTTGAAGTGTGCTCTTTTCTGTAGCATTTTGCCAATTCGATCGCGTCCGTTCTCTTTATTATAAGTTGCTATACATACATACATACATCACGCGCGCGATTTGCTAGAAGAGCTCGAGCTATTTCGAATACTGTATACACACTGTAAAACGCATATATACATTGCTCTCTCTGCCGGTCTCTTGCCGGTGCCCGATCGTTATAAGAATTTTTGATATTATTGCGAAGGAAATTTTCCCTGTCGACGGAGGAAGCCTCGGTTCAAACTCAATTTTTCTATTTCCACTTCAATATTCGACTCATCTACGTCTACATAGGACACACATACAGCCACTTGTTCAGCAGTGTACAGCATACCTTGTCGCAAATTATTGCAATAAGTATGCTAGCAGGATATTAATACATCTTCACAGGTACACACGTACACGCAGATTTTGTACATATTTTTAATAACGATAGTCATAATTGTACGTAACAGATGACACAACGCAGTCACGTGAAGATTACAGTATACGCATGCCAAAAAGGATGAAAGCGCGTTCCGTTAAAAATTTTTTTCTAACAGCAACTCGGGACTTCCTCCTATCGACTTTCCGTTCAGCCGTTCGTTTCCCTCGCGGTTTCTCGGTGTCGTCTCGTGTTAAGAACCCCTTGTAACACGCCGCGGAGGCGGTCCAACGTCGCGGGCGTCCCAAACGAATGAAAAAAAAATTAAAAAATTAAAAAAAAATAGAAAGCACCGCGACGGATATACTAATTCTAAATGGCCGCGAAAGCGGCCATCACTGCTCTCGCTACAAATTAAACAGAAAATGTGAAAAATTACAAAAAAAAGAACAGAGAAACTCATGAAGATAGAGATTATTTTCTAAAGAATAAAAAAAAAGTGCAAAGTGAGAGAGAGGGAGAGAAAGGGATCGAGAGAAAGTGTGAGAGAGAGAGCGAGAGAATGATCAATCTAAAAAATTAAACCAAAGAATAAAATGGGGTGACGACGAACTTGTGCAAGAATCGCGCGAGGAACAAAAAAAACGAAAGAAGCTAGATTCCTTTTTTCTCAGCGCGACCTCGCGAATTTTTTCTATAAAGTGCGTGTGTGTTTTAAAACGAGAAAGCGAAACCGAACAAATGTAGAAAAGCAAAGACAGGAGCAAAGGATATTAATGAAATCTGCGCGACTGATTTCACCGTGCGAGAAATTCTCACTTATACAGATATTCGTAAAGCGCTTATGGGGGTGGGGCGGGGTGTCAGCCTGCAGATAATTACACGACATTAGTTGCATTCGATCGATAATGTATTTAATTGGTTGGCAATTATCGGTGGCTAGCGATCTGTCTTTCTTTCGTGGACACGCGTTGGCCGCGCTTGATCTCGGGAAACCGAATGCATGCACCGCACTTTCTATCTCATCACTTTAGGATTACTCTAGCGTAAATCGTTAGCGGATAGAGCGAGGCGTTTTTAAAGCCTCCAATTAACATTTCCCTCCGAAGGCTCCCAAGGGTTTTTAGTACACGCGCATACACGCTTGTATACACACGCTCTAGTCACGTAGTACTTATGTACACGTCGCGTACGCATGTAAAAGACTTTGAAAAGATTTTAAGACTTGTGCGCAACGTTAGCAATTACTTTCTTACTCTCTTGCTTCGTATAAAATGTTTTAGCTGTAGATTAAAATAGCTGATAAATTGCGAGTACTTTTACGAGACAAAGGCTGTTGTTACGTTCATCGTTTATAAAAGCCTTAGCTATATCTATACATGAATTATCCTCTGTAGATTCTTCTTCGAGCTTTCTTGAGATCAGACGCGGACGCATTTAGAATGAAAGGGGCGCGATGCGTTTTCTCCATCCGATCCTATATCAAAGAGCGCAAGGTATTCTTTCCGTTTGAAATTGGAATCATTGTCCGACGACGAAATTCGAACGAAGGGAATTAGAGAACAGAAAGCCACGCGACTTATGTATATTAAAAACGTACGTATAATAACGCGCTGCATAGCGATTCGTTTCTGCTCGAGGTACACACGTATAAAATATACATATATAGGTTCTTTCCTTCGTAGTGCATACTATAATTAATTCTGGAGTATCCATTGCGTACTGTATAAACGATATACATAGCGTAATGTATTAATTGCGTAATTCAGCAACGGTTCGCCGCGCGCAGGGGAACCGATAATCTCGCGTTGCGCTACTAAGTGATTCATAGACACAGTTATTTCTATAAGAGGAAAGACTCGGGCGCGTTTAAATGCTATACGACGACGGTGTGAAGGGAATAAATACGTGAAGAATAATATTGTATCTGTGCTGCCATTAGAGTTATAAAAATGTGGGAAGAGAACAAATGAAGAGGACAGACAAAGCCAAAGTATACCTACCTATACATAGTTAATGAAGATACACCCGGTTAATACATACATACATGCATAATACAACGTACACCCGACACGTGCGCAGATTCACGCGTGCCACTTGTCAGTGGACCACGCGTGGGCTACGAAGACAGGAGAAAGACACATATATAAATATATAAATATAAATTAACATATGTTGTATACACGATACACACGTACACGTACCCGACGATGTAATTAATAAGTGCATACCTTAATCCCGAGAAAAGAAATTCGTTTCGCGATACGAGGATGATTTTAGGAGCCTTCGTGTTGAATAATTAGCAGTCTCATTCCATGTATCGTATAATCGAAAGATCGAGTGACCGTGATCAGTACGTGTTATAGCGATAAGATCAATAAACGACAAAAATCTACGCGACGAAGGATGAAAAACAGGAAATTACGGTTCGTAGTGTGTACTGTATTCGAATGTGATCGATTTGTTACGTATATCCTTTATTATTGTTACGTTGTGCTTCTTATTATCGCCTAGTATTATTATTATTAATATTACGATCATGTTTATTACAAATTCCGGAAGTATTATCGTCACTGTAAGTATTATTAGCTTTATTACTGGGATCATTATTATTATTCGATATTATTTATTACTGTCAATTTCGAAGAAGGACCGCTCGTCTTTTTTTCTAGTCGGATTTATCTATAGTCCCAATCAAAGAGTACTGTCGATATACTCGGTCTCCCCCGTCCCCGATATATATTTGATTTTTTGTCAAATAATCCCCGATGAGGAAAGCACGATGCCACGCATTGCAAGACACATAGATCTTGCATAATAGAGTGATGCATTATCTGTGCAACAAATGCAGTATGCAACCCGTAAATATGAGGTCAATGTTGATTTGTTTAAATAAATGTAAGTTTGAAAATCCACGACAGCCTTTACTCATTTCACGCATTCACTATCCTATGTAATAAAGTTATAATCTCTTTATTATATTGTTTCATGCAGCTCGTCCATATAATAGAATAGCAAAAATAGCTGTTTCTCATGGTTGTAGGAGTAAACGAGGATAGGAACTGAATGACATACGTCATTACGTTCTAAATATGAGTGCATATTAATTTTTGCAATTTTTTATATCGCGACACTTTACGAATTATCATTCATAGGCAAAAAGGTAAGAAAACTTCTTTTTTGTAAGAAATTTTATAAATGTTGGCAAAATACTATAAAAATTCGTATTGATAAAAATCTAATTATAACGAATCTAGTCATCGTTACCTTGATACATAAAGATACGCGATTTTTAACATACTCGGGAGTTCATTTATTTCTGCTTTCCCTTCCAATTACGAGTCCTCCTCTCAAGGAGACACGAACCGCTAACCGCTCCCTTACCGAATAC